GGCCATTAGTCCCCGCCAAGAGCAATTACCCTCCAGACGGGCCGAGAGGTCGGGCAGGAGATGCACAGCCCTGTTTTTAGTTTGGGGGGGAAATACTAACAGGATCTGCCTGCTGAGCTGGGGGCTGCCGGGGGCTGCAGCTTCCCAGGGGCTTCCCTGCTTGAACGTTGACTACTGCCCAGCATGCAGAAATCCACCCGGTTTTAAGGGATCTCTGTTTAACTGGATCCTACTGAATGGCCTCATTTGGGACATCCCCAGGTTTTCCAAACACAAACTTTTCTTTCTGGCTGCTGTGTTTTTTTTTGTGTGTGTGTGTGTGTGTGTGTTGTTGCATGTTCAGATGTGAAGGACACTAGATAACTAACTCATTTTATTTTATTTTATTTTATTTTATTTTATTTTATTTTATTTTATTTTAATTTTTTCCCTGCCTTCGCAGGTTGGGGGATATGGTGGCTCCCCTTTCCCTAGCACCTCACGGGCTTTCTGTGCACAAAGACCGGCTTGCTCCAAAGCCTGGATCAGCTGCCCTGGTTAAATAATGCCAAAAAAAAAGAAAATGCCCAAAAATAAAAATAAATGCAAAAAAAAAGGATCCTGGGACAAAAGGAGGCACTGGAGGAGAAGATGCAGCATCCTCCAACTCCCCCTGCCTTGCGCTTCTTCAAACACCACAGCCCCAAGGCATGTGCCAGGGAGGGGACCCAGACAAGTGGCTCCTGTCCCCACTTGTCCCGGAGGCTCCCAGGGCAGCCGCAGGGGTTGCACGGAGGCCGGAGGAGCGCGCGGAGCCGGAGGAGCGCGCGGAGCCGGCCGGAGCACGGGGCCGGCACTAGGTGGGGATGGCAGCACGCGGCGGCCCCGGGAAGGACCCGCGCGAGAGGAGGAGCGAGGGCCATGGCGAAGGCGAAGGCCGTGGCGGGAGGAAGGCCAGGGCCGCACAGCGTGGGAAGCGGAGCTGACAGGAGGAGCGGAGGGAAGAGGTGCAGGATGCAGCCACCAGCTTCACGCTGGGGCCCACAGGCAACACAGTGAGGGAAAACGGCCCTTTCGGTAGCAGGAGAGCTGGGAAATGGCATCTGCAAATGTCCCTGGGCTCGCTGAGCCCGGAGGTGTCGCAGGGGACAGTAAACGCTCGTGCACCCGTCACCGGGGAAAACCCTCGCGCGGGACAGGACTTGCATTCACACCCTCACGTGCGGCTCCGGCGGGATAAGCCCTTCATGCAGGGAGTTTGTTTACCAGCACAGATGGGAAAACCCTCCTTGCGCTGCCTTATCCTCACCTGCCTCCCGTGGGGCGGCCGAAACTGGAGCATTGGGGGCTTCCGCACCAGGGATGCTCCGAGCCCACGGAGTGGAGCTGAGGCCCCACGCAGCTTCCCTGCTCCATCCCAAACGGTCATTCTCCTTCATTTCTCCTCCTCCTTTGTGCCCTCTGGGTCCGCTCTACTCCTTGGACCTCACCTGGATTTGGTGACTACTTTGGACTGCTGCAGCAATCCCCAGTTTCTGGTTGTGTCTCTCAAAGGCAGAGGAGCAGCGGAGACGCCGGGATGCTCACAGCCGGTTGGATGCTCTCCATGCTTCCCTGCATCTATATCCCTGCTTTGCCGGCACACTGTGGCTATTGGCAGTGGGAGAAGCAGCCAGGAAGGCCACGGAAAGTGTCTGAGCAGCAAGGGTGTCACCTCAGCCACCCCCAGATCGCCGCCGTCAGCGCTTCTGCATTAATTGCTGCTAATAATTAGTTGTGCGTCGTTATCCTCGAAGCTGCTTGGCCCAACCCGGCCCTTCTCACGCCTGGGAGGAGCAGGACCAGCTCGGGGCTGATGAAGGTGGCGAGCGTGAGGAAAAGCTATTTCCAAATAAGAGCCTTTCGGATGCCCCGTGCCAGCGCGTAGAGGACCCAAAGGGTTTTAGCACCTTTAAAGCCACCACCAAGAAGGCCGGGAGCTCTGGTACCTCCTGCTTGGGAGGTTGTTCAGGGTTGAGTTCGGAGCTAAGCGGGGTCAGTCCTCGTCCTCTCCTTGCCTCCTTTGGGATAAGGATTCACCTTATCTTCCCTGCAGCAAACGACGGCAGCAAGGTTTGCAGAGGGAGGTAATGTCTTTTTTTTTAGCTTGCGTGGAATAATTAGAAGAAAAACAGGTGAGCAGTTGGGTATAGAAGCCCTTTGTTGGGCCTGGAATAGCAGCACGAGTGTGTGGAGCTCCACGCGATGGAGATGGGCTCGGAGCACAACGAGCTCTGCCACTAGCAACTGTTCCCCAGGCGTGTTGTGGGCTAAGGAAGGACATGCTCCTCTGCCTGGATCCAGCATCCCGGCACTGTCATTGCTGGAGCCACACGGCCATGGGGACCCCCTCGCCGCCCCCAAAAAGCAACCTGGGGTTTTGCCGTGTGCGGCATCACGATGGCCAGGGCGCCAAGGTGGTACCTGCGAGGGATCTGCCACCGTCCTGCACCCCATCCCGCTGCCCGGGGCCCCTGCCTGACCCCAGGGACCCTTCGTGACCGTGGGGACCCTTCGGAGCTCTGGGAACCCTGCCCGACCCCAGGGACCCTGTCTGATACCAGAGACCCTGTCAGACCCCAGGTATCCTGCCCCATCCTACATTGTCCTACCCCAAACACACTGTGACATCCCAGCTGATCCCGAGGACACTGCCCCACCCCGGGACAGCGGTAGGACCTTTTTTGTCCTACTGCAGAGGACAAGGAAACACCCCCAGGGACCCCGGGGTCCCTGTCTCCCCCCGGGGTCCCTGTCTCCCCCCGGGGGCCCC